GACCAATTCTAGATCAAGTTCACATCTATTATGATCATCATCTCGGCATTTTCTTCTAACCATCAATATAACATTGACAGAATCCACCTATGTTTAAATTCAAAAACACAGTTTAATCTGCTTTTTGATTGGGTTCCATATCCATGTTTAGTGGGTTTATATCATCATAAAAGATCAACATTCAAAAATGGACCAATCCTAGATCAAGTTCACATCTATCGTGACCATCGTCTCAATATCACTTTGACACAATCCCCCTTAATTTGTCTTAAATTCAAAACACAGTTTAATCTAACTTTTGATTAGGTTGCTACCATGTCGGTGTTTAATTAGGGTCCTAAGAAAATGATGCAATGACGATGGTCACAGCAGATGCCACAACTCATCACATTAGACTTGATTAGATACAGCCTAGATTTGATTGGAAATTTTCCATCTTTGAAATTGAACCCTAATCTAACTACAGTCACTCGCTCCTAATGCCACCTGTTCAACCAATGCCTCTAATAATTTCCAATTTCAACCACCAATCCCTTAACCTTAATCTATCTTCCCAAGGATTTGTGAAATGACAGGATTTAAAACCAGCATCCAAACAAACAAAACTTCAAATCAATTGAATTTCATTATACTGAACCAAATAAGCCCCAAAGGCTACTTCCAGGCTCCCACCATCTAATCAAAACCTGAAATTTCAAGGAGAAAAGTCAAATGGTTTTCATTTAGGGTATCCCATCACATTTTTTATTTCATTTTCTTTGTGGGTACACCAGGGATAGAACTTAAGATTGTTAGCCATCATGTGAGGGAAAATGATTGTATTAGCTCCAATTTTTTTTTTTTCTTTTTCAGGACCATTCATCTATTCTATAAATCATCCTCATAAGAAATTAGTTACAATCCAATAATCTTCTGTCCATTCCATCATGTCTCCTCTTAATAATCAGAAAATTAATGCACGATGTCATGTTGTTGTTACTATCATTGCAAGGTTTTACTAATAGCTATCATCAAACTGTTAGGCTTAGTTTGGTAGGACTGTAGGAGTACAAATATAAATATATACTATGCAAATACATATAAAATAATACAAAATACAAGGTTTTGCACTCTACAAATTTGTATTTGTACTTCTTCCAAATTGAGCCTTAATGTAAAATTTTGATATTGGGCACATCCATTATGTTTGTTTAGTGATAACAAAGAAAAATTCACTAAACGCCCATCACAAATACAACAACAATGACATTGATGATACTGATGACGACAACAACAACGAAGATGATGACAAAGACTACAAAACATCATTATTATTATTATTATTATTAAGAAATAACAAAAAAAGGCTCCATATCTCATGAGAGATGAGACTAGAGTGCCCTGATAAGTGGGTTACATACAAACAACTAGGTTGATACATAAGGGATAAACAGTTGCAGTTGTGTGTTTTATGGGATTCCACAGTCCTGTGAGAGTGTGAGGTGAGACAAAAAATGGGCTCTCTCAGGAGAAGTCACACTCATTGAATTAAGTAGAAGTTGCTCTCTAGAACGGCAATAGACTGTAAGTGTCAACGATTGAACCCTAAATCTACAACAGCATGGATATCAAGAATACAAGATCCAATGGCGAGCATCTAAGGTTCATTATGGAACCGATTAGGGATTTGTTTAATGTTTAATTTGTTTTGCAATTGCAGCATTGGAATAAGTACTGTGGTAGTAACAGAACAGTGTAAGTACAGAAATAGTGAGTTTCTAGGTAAAAGGGAAGGGAGAGTAGTAATACACAACAACAACAATAACAACAGTTCCAACATGACCACTCAAACAAAAAGATTGATTAAATAAATAAAGAAACAAGTAGTACGTCGTAGGACTGATGAAGCTGCAAAATAAAATTTTAAAACAGTCATGGAGCCAGATTTCATATAAGAAATTAACAATTAATGGTCTTTCTCTCTCTCTCTCCACCACAGCCTTGACTGCTACTGTTATAGTTATTCCAAACGGCCACTCATCCAAAAAAAAGGCAAAAAGAATAATTATATTGCTATATCCACATCTCCCCCCCTCTCTCTCTCTCTCTCTCGTGCCATCCACATATATATTACATGCATGACTGAACTGTTGATAAATGGGTAATGGTATTTGAGGGAGAAACAAGGAAAAAGAAGCTTGAAATCCCCTACGCCACCCACTAATCAAAAAGAGGAAGCTAAAACCATCCAGGGCTAGATGAGTCCATTGTAGGCTAAAAAAAGGCACTTTGCAATATAAAATTTATTGAATACAGATGTAGATGGATAAAATTCTCTCCAAAAAGTTGGCTCAGCAAAACCCGGGAAAGTATTCAATGGATAGAAGGTGGGATATTAGGCTTTGGCAATCAAGTAGATTAAGACCATGCACTTCCTTTTGCTTATATCTTGCATTGGTTGCTGATGAGTGATGACAACCCAGATTTCAGTAGAATCTTTACTCTTTTAGCGTAGGTGTGTTCCTTTATGGAGGAAACTAAAATCAACAATATTTTTGTTTCACTGTTTACACTTGTAAGTTAATTGCAGTGTACTTGGTCAGTCACACTCACAGTGATGATTCTTGCCAATATTTCATCAATTTGGAGCACTATTTGTACTTCATTATGACGTTAAAAGGCAAAGTATTTTTGAGCAACCCTCTCAGGGAGTAATTGCCAAATGTCTTCAAACCAGTCACAGGTATTTATATTAAGAATTTGTAAAGGCAAATCCCAGAGGACAAGCTTCTTTTCCGGGTAAAAAGAAGACTAAAAAGACAGTACAATTTTGTGTTCTTTGGCTGCAAAAATTGCTCCGTCCTGATCTTGGACTAGATACTATTTGGCCATTTCACTTGAAAGAGAACAAGCTGCTCACGGCATTTTGCATTTTGACACTTGTCCAGTGGAAATACGTGCATGCAAATGGAGAAATATGACAAGGGACTAAATCACTCCCTCTCTACCAAAAAAAAAAACCACATTGCTCTTTCCACAGAGTTGTGGCTTCCATTCAATGAGCATAAATAAACAAAGACTCTAATCAGTGGAGTACAAAACACTTTGAGAAAAAACAGAACCAGAGTTCTTTCTCAAGAGAAAGTGTTTACCACTTATTTCCAATTAAACCCAGACGTAATTGCCAGAGAAATTTATAAGCCTAAGCTGTATTTGAAGTCTGAATAATTTTAACAGGAAAAAAATTAATTGTATTCTAACGTAGTCATTGTGGTTTTATTTATTTGTTTTCCACTAATTCCCATTTCCAACAAGATATTTCCATTCTTGGTTAGAATGTTACAGGAAACTTCTGTTTAAGCCTTGGATCCATGTATATATGCCCATTACTTTTAGGAACAAAATTGAATTATTACAATTTCAAATCTGCAGCGACACCTCTTTCAGGAAAAGCTAAAGAGGATAACCAAAAAAAAGCTATAGTATACATTCATAACTGAATTATGAATTATTTTCCAAAACAAAATTGTCTTCGGGACTGTGAGCCCCTGAATTATCCTTTTTCATCGGCTGTATATGATAGAGTAAGAAATTCTGGAACAAGCCTAAGTGGGCACTATGGGGCCAACCTTAAGCACACAATGTAATTAACAAAAAAGCTTAGAGTTAATAATATAGGATCTCTTAATATAGGTACAATCAGCTCATTGTCAAAAATTGATATTAAATTTTCAACACATTGCAAAAGAAAATGATCTCATCAACTCTCTCTCTCTCTCTCTCTCTCTCTCTCTCTCTCTCTCTCAGAATCAGTCACTGTTGGGTACATTGAATTTGAAACATAAGGATCTAATCTTAAGAAAAACTTAATAATTAATAGTGGGAATAGATCCTGAATTAGGTATAACGGTAGTGTCATACCCACCACTTGACTCACTTAAAGGAATAGTCCTCTAGCATCTATATATGCTATATAGCATTAGCTTTCCTTGTAGGCTACATATATACACACAACTCAACACAATTTCCATCTCCAAGCATATAGAAGACTGAGCAATATTTCATCCTTCAAGTTCAAGGCAAATAAACAATAAGATATTCCGGGACGGAAAACCCAACATCAAACCCAATCATAAGGAATAACTATTCATCACGTTAGATGACTGTCGGCCAGATTGATTAGGAAATTTGGCTGATTGGCTCCCAATCTCAATGCAACATTTTTCCCTTCACCCATTTTTATTAATTTACATTTTAACATATATATATATAGATAATATATATAATATATATATATATGAGCTAGCATCTGTGATGGAAATAATGGATAATGTCCTTTGTCTTTTTCCCAATTTATAGATCTATACCAAATTGCCTTCCGTTGAAAGCATAACTAGATTCTACTGTTTTTAGTGTTCAGTGTTCACCAAATGTAACCAAACCTCTTGAATGCTTCTTCCTCTTTTGGGAACATCTGAACTTGATATGACAAGAGGTTAAAGGGTGATGGGATTGGCATACCAAATGAGGTTGGAAAACAGTAATAAAAGGAGACAAGATCAGTAATTACTGAGAAATATAAGGCAACAAAGAGTTGCAGTATCTACCATCTTAAGTTACTTCTCCTTCTAATGAAATGACGACAGTTCTATACAAGCTTAATAAGAAAGACTTACAGACTCCATTTGGGTATTGATTAGATTTTCAGTTGCAAAAAGCTCAACAAAATTAGCCCAAAACCTGACCTGTTAGGATTACTCTCAAAAGGTCATAATGTGATTCCTTTCCTCAATAAGTCGAGGTACTCATCATCAAGCTCAAGATTAAAAAGGGGAAGCAAAAGGAAAGGACAGAAGAAAGTCAAAGAGAAGTTTGTAAAATTGAAGGCTGAATGCCATTTGCAATTCCACATACAAACAAGGAGAATGCTAGACACCATCTGACATATAATCCTTGAAAAGTTCTCTTCACTCTTTAAGTGAATATGCCTTTTACCCATTAAACTTGAGAATGAAAACATAAAAGGAGATGTACATATGATCTGCAAATCTATTAGTTGGCATATATGAATCTTCAAGTACATAAGTAAGAGCAATTGGATGCTCAATTCCACATCGATCATTACTCAAAGTACACTATCTAATCTACAGTTCTACTACTGCAACTGCTACTACTAAGACAACATCAACAACAATGGCAACAACAGAAGCAGCAGCAGCAACAACTATAACAACTACTACTAGCTACTTAGCTAGTATTACTACTACTACACTACCACCACTAGGACCAATACTATTACTATAAATACTACTACTACTCTACTGCTGCTACTACCATTGCTACCGCCACAGCCACCACCACCACTACTGTTTGCATCAAAATCAAATCCAAGGTACCCATAAATCTAAACATATAGAGGTTCTGCCCAAGTAAAACATAAGACAGAGAACAGAATGAACCACCTAGAATTGCATGAATAACTAGCTACTTCTACTTAATCAGATTACCTATTGGAAAGGGAAAATAGAAGAGAGGCAGTATCCATAGCGCTAAAGGAAGCTAAGAGCTCAGAAGATCTAGAAAATGTAGAATTCTCCTTCACCAATTCTTGGCTATGAGTTTGGATAATCAACGACGACTGGAACCATAGTGCGAACAAGTGCTGGACAATGTGCAGTTTCTAGCTTGCACCTGGAGGTGGCAATTGGGCCGGCTGCTGTGGGCGCTTCCGCTTCTTCTTCTCGTAACTGATCCCCCTGGCCTTGGCCTGCAATTCACGAACCTCACGTAAATAAAGCCTGACAGCTCGAGCACCAAATGGGTTGGCTTCTGGCTTTCCGCCGTGCTCCTCGAAAGCGGCTCGGAGGCGTCCGATGAGAGCATCGAGGCTTCCCCAAGCCTGACGGAGTGGACACGGGCACGGCGCGGGGGGATTCGGGTGGCCGAAGAAGGGGCAGATTTGAGTGTGAACTTTGGTCTTCCCGAATTGGTCGAGGTATCGGAGGAATTCGAGCACATGGGCGCCGCTGCACCTGGAGAGTGACAGTGGAGGCCTGTGGTTCTTTAGGTATTGGCCGAAGGTGTTCCAATCCCTACGCTTTTGGTTCTCGTATCGGCTGGGAGCAGACGCCGATGAGGAGGTTGCAGCGGAGTTATTGGTGGTGTTGCTATTGTTGTTCTCCGAGTTAGAACTGTCTGCTGCTGGAACTGTATCCATTGGAACGGTGTCTTTCCCCCTTCTATTTCTTTCTTTTCTTCTTGGAACCTGCAGCAGCAGCAGCAGAAGTGATATTTGATGTTGGCCGAGTTGCTATTCATAATGATGATGATGATGATGATGATGATGATGATGATGATGTTGATGATAATCATGATGACGATGATAAACATGATGGTGATGATGATGATGATGATGATGATAAAGAAGATGAAGAGGAGGAGGATGACGTTCAATCTCCTCTTGGTCTTCTTCCTTTTTTTTGTTATGGGGTTTCTGCTAGGGTTTTTATTTCCTTGTATACATGAAAAGGTAAGCATGTGCAGCAAACACCGGTGAGAGAAGGAGAGAGAAAGAGAGGGAAGGAAAGCAAAAAACGAAGATCAGGAGATCAGAGAAAGAATAAAAAGCAAACCAGTTACAGATAAGCTTCGGTTGAAGAGATCAGGCAGTAACAAACATAGTGGATGCAGAATAAGCACTTCACCTTTTGTTCTCCTCCTTCCAGCTGCAGAAGAGTATTTTTCAGATGTTACTGTTGATGGAGATAAATAACTCTCAAAAAGGAACTGATTACTGGTAGACTTTTGCTGTTTCCATGATTTCCATCTTTTGTTCAGGAGAGAGAGAGAGAGAGAGAGTGAGAGAAGTATGGATGGAGTCGGGCGTGGAGTGGCAAGAAGAAAATTGATGGAGTTGATGAGATCAACAGAAGAATGAAAGGATTCTGTCTCCTTTCTTCTTGGGGTTTCTAGTTTGAGCAATACTAGAAACCTTGAAAGGCTCTGTGTTCGCGGACTTTTTTTGCTATATTTTCTGAAGCAAATGTTTTAAGGGATGATAGAATTTTTTTTTTCCAAAAAAGGGGAAGAGCAAACTGAATTCCTATTTGTTGATGATGGACCAATAGTGCCTTGGTGTGTGTCTTTAGAGACTGAGAGAATTCTAAATTCTTTTACTTGGTTTTTTTTTTCTTTTCCCTGTGGTAAGTGGTGGGAACTCCTCGGTTAGGGCTTTTGTGGGATTAGAAAGAGGTTGACAGTGGGCTGAGGTGATAGGGACAGGAAAAAGTTACGGGGGTAAAATATGAGGAGCGAATAATATGATTTTTTTTTTTTTTTGGTAATGAAAATGGATGGCATGAGCTCTCTTTCTCTAATCACTAAAATCCCTTCAGTTTTTTTTCTTTTCTTTTGACAAATTACTGCCAAATAGCAGTCAGTAATGGCATAAATACAGCATCTACGGCCAAAGGTTGGACTGGTGCACCAATTACTATTTTAGGATAATTATTTCTGGGCAATTGTCAGAATGGAAATAAGGTTTTTTTGGGTTTGTTTAGAGTATTAATTAATTAACTAAATGGGGTCTGCAATTTTCATGAAATGTCTGGTTTTAGCTATTGAAATCAATCTAATTCAACCCATTTGCTTGCAAAAAGAAAGAAAGAAAATCCCAAATCCCAAATAACCATTTTTATAAACCAGTTAGTTGCACCTTTTAGTCTATTACCAAGGAGAAATGAGAAATGATGGAATAGACAAAATATCTACAGCCATGGTTGTAGTCCCAATGTGAACAAACAAAACCATTAAATCAGGATATTTTATATTAAGAAATTCTTGTGAAGACAAAAATGTCAATCACTAAGTAGGACTCGTTTGGTTTGACAGATAAAACCCAAAATGGGTTATGCATACATTGAGTATAAAATCTAAAATCTTTTATTCCCCCTTTCTTTTCGTTGAAATTATGCTTTTCTTTAATTACGATCGAGAAAAATGATTTTGACTTTAACTTATTTATGCATAAATTATCACATAAAGAAACCGAAAATGACTTGTGCTTTCGTCTTTGGCTGGTCATGTTCTGCTCCTTTTCTTGCCAACAGATGGAGCCGTAGGCCCTACAGTCTACGGATTGGAAATTTTTTATCTGGAATTTAAATTTTTATTATCTTTATCTTTTTAAGATTGTTTTTCCCTTTTTCTTTTTTTATTTCAGATCCACGAAGAAGATATTCCAATCCAACAGTTCCGGCACAAGATGAAAAATCCCCTACGACTTAATAAAAAAAATCACTTGGCCATCTCTAAAATACACGTGTTTCCATTTTAATTAAACACTGTACACTGATGGATTGAATGACAAATTTGTCAGAAAATGGTGATGATAAGCAAAGTATTTGTAACTAATAGGTTCATCCAATTGATGGTCGACCGAGATTAAGTTCAGGGCACTGACTGGTTGATAATTGAGCGACTGTACTGAATGACTTGTTGCTTTGTCCTTTTGTGGATGTCATTAATATTGTTGATTCATTGATTGGTACATTGGGTTAATTAATATTTTATTAAACAGTTATTTCATCCACTAAAAACCAAAACCAAAGCAGTCCAGCCACTTCAGCTCTATTTAAACCACCTTTAAGCTTTAAACAATAGAAATGGGAATGCTTATTATTCGGTTCAGAACTTTTTATTTAAGACCTGTTTGGGTGGGTTAAATTGCTTTCAGACTGACTCGCTAGAAGCTACTGAAAAATAAAGCTTAATAGGAAAGCCAATTTTTTGGCTGAATGATAGTGTATTTGGGCTTTCTGGAATTTCACCTCACATAGCTTGTAGGCCGTCCATGTGGAACCCACCTCACAAATCCAGAAACCACTACATGAGAGCAGAGAGCCCTCCCAAACAAGCACTTAATTTATTCAAATTAAAATACCCTACTTAATTTAAGTAGATCTGTTCTGGTGCATAAGTTAAGTTTGAGAAAAATAGAAACACAAATATGTTTAGTGTAAAACCTTGTATACAGTATTTCTAAACCTTGTATTTGCAATGTACATATTTGTATTTACCGTCTTTCCAAACTGAGTCGTAAAGAACTCTTATAACAAGCATTAACGAGGTATTATGTGTCTATTATATACTTAGTTGGGACCCGCACGAAGCACAGGTTTTGTTAAGCAAAAGGAGTCCTGTGATATTCTCAATTAAGCTGAATAGATCCAAGTTCAACTCAAACATTATTTTTGGGTTACATCTAGCCAATCTAACCACAATCCAAGTTGCACCCCCAGTGAGAGTGACCAAATTTGTGCTAAGTTTAAATTAATAAAAATTAATAAATTTGTTTTATTTTTTAAATATAATTTAAGTGGATTTTAAATGAGTAAAAATAGTAAATATTTACGATATTTACGAATAATTAAATTTTTAGTAATGAAATTTAAAATCAACTTAAAAACTTGGTTACATATAAAATAGCAAAATACTGAAAAAAAATGGAGTTAAATGGGCTCAATTTGGATGACCACCTTTAATGCAGTTAAATGGGCTCTGTTGACAAACAATCTGCATACTAGCAAAGCATATATGACCTTCATTAATAAGTAGGTCCACAAAACAGTGTCATCAATCAAACAACCAAATTAACTTCTTTGAACAAACCCCTTCTCTAGAAGTTCTTTAATGCCTTTACTGTACACATAATCAATTTAAATGCAAATCCATGTAACTTTTATGAAGATTTTGTACAGATATTGTTAAAATAAATAAATATAGGTGAAATAGGTTAGATTTCTACATTGGAAACTTGACCAGAAAAGGAAGTTTAACCAAGATTCTAAGCAATGCTACATGCTTACATCATTCCTACAAAATCCTTTTGATATTATAGTTGGCAATGCACCCCTAAAGCCCCAAACCCAAGCTTTAGTACTGATTGAGCATATGTTCAAGGGATGAAAGGACATACAATTGGCTTCTACCCCTTATATGTTCACTTCTTGTTCATGAGGATTTCTACTTGTTTTATTCATATTCAGGATTCAGGTGTCTGTGGCAAGTAACAGTTCTATCTATTTAATTATGTAGATTCTAATAACTGAAGCTACATAGTTTTCCCACTTGGTTCTTTCTCTTCCTAGCTACTAGTTTTCCCCTTTTCCTTTATTCCATCCTCAACAGATGATCCACTTTAACAGACCTGATGAAGGTAAGATTTCTTAAAACATATTGATTGGATGCTTTTTTTTTTTTATTATTGAATTGGCACGAATATGTGGGTCATGAAGGCCCAGACCCAAGATAGTATCAACAAACCAAAGCCAATAAATCCAATAAAAGCTGAATCTTCTAACATTGAACCTGACAGAACAATGAAGGTAACCAATAAATCCAACAAGAGCTGAATCATCTACATTTTTACCTGACAGAACTCTGAAGGTGCCAGCTAGCTCACTGGTAAAGTCTCTGCTTGTCATAGTGTACACTTGGGTTCGAATCCCGGCCTGCCTTTGATCAGGGTTAGGGTTGGGGGATATGTTACCACCACTAATTGTATGTGGTAGCCTCTTAAAAATAAAAGAAACTGACAGAAAACTTTTCTTTAATTTGTTGGATTTTTTTTTCTATTGCTGGATTTGTTCAAACAGGATGGGGCTACAGAGACCTAGGTATTTACCTGTAGGCACTCCATTAGCCATGGTTTTCTTCCAAGAATAGCATCATTAATTATCATCTCCCTCTTTCATTTCAAGAGGGTAAAAGAAAAACTCTAAAAACAAATCTTAAAACTTTATTATAAATGGCTAAGATTTATAATTTTTTTTTGGGTTTTCAAGATTTGTAATTAGATTTCTACTATTATATTCCTGTTGAGAATTTACTGTAGTGGCGGCCTTCGGGGGCCCATCCCTCCATGGAGATAATGTACTAGACCACTGAATTTTACACATGAAGTAGCACTGGCTACAGTGATCCTGATCCCTTATTCAGTGTTGGTTCACATTCAAAGAACCAGAACTAGTAAAACTTAATGTCATTTGGTGATAATTCAAATATATACATATATTCAGCAAAATTTCCAAGTGAATAGAGAATGGTCACTTGACATATTTTCTTTCAGGAATTATGAACATTCATCTTAATTAGAACCTCTCACCTTGCAGCTGATTAATGGCCTATTGGCCTACCCTTAAAAAAAAAGAAATTTGAAAACTCCTCATTAGATTTGAGTAATTCACCATTATTATTTGCTAAGTCATGAAGCAAGGCATTGGATGTGATTACCTCTAAAAATTATATCATATACCAATAATACACCATCTAAGCAATCTGCTTGAACAGATTAGTTCCAATTAAGAACATTATTTGCCCAAATAGGCACATTGCCATGGCCTTTCTGAACCCCCTGGGAATTACAGAAAAAAAAAAAGAACAGATAAGTCATGTATAATCCAATGAATGATGAACAGAAAATGATGATAAATTAAAGAGGAATCCTTTCTTTGCAATGTTTAAATTGAGATTATAGATAAAGTGGAATAATGCCCTAAGTTGACCGGTGTACAGGAATGCAAGTATGCAACAATAATAGCTCCTAAAATTGTTCTAAGAAGCTCTGAAGAGACGGAGTTAAATGATTAAATACACCCAGAACCAAGAAATGGAAAACAAAATGAAAATGCTAAAAGCATGTTGAAAAGTTTAATATGGTATTATCTCAAAAGCACATTTTGAATGAATTTATATTTATACATGTTGATAAATCTCCTACTCTGCATACCATAAACACAGAATATTACCAGATTAACTAATAGAATACATAAAAAGGGGCTCATCCAAAGAGAAAAATAGAATAAAATGCCTATGTTCTTCATTCTGTATTTAGGATTGATATCATTGAAGGCATAAGGCTCAGGTTGGAAGGAGTACAAATACAAATATGTAGAATATGCAAATATTTTATATGTACTCCTTCCAAACTGAGCCTAGACTTCAAAAGTTAGCAAACAGTAAAAGTAGAATTTGAATGGAGTTATTGTAATGAAGGTTATGTATGTATTTGAAAACACTATGTGTGCACATGTTTCTCATGTAATGAAAACATGCAGATATGGATATCTTTATACCAAGAGTTCACTTTTGCTACTTTAGTAAGGACTAAGGAGAAATTGCTCTTTTGAATGGTGGATAAACAGAGCCATATCACC